GTTCGTTGGTTTCACGAGCTCTCGTTTGACCCGTGTGTTACGCCGCTAAAGTAAGTGGCCGCGGGCGAGGCCTAGGATAATTAATCTCCTATCGACTCTTGATCCCTTTATTCGCTGAACTTGAAACAGCAAAAACTCGCATGCGGCCTGGATGATCGCTCGATTGGAAAGAGAGCGCTTCTATCCGCAATTTATTAGGGGTGAGCAAACTTTCGTCCGATTTTTCAGTCATTTGGCTTCGCTGACCTCTTCGCTGCGATAACCTTCTTCGTACACTTAAGCTTAACTATTAAACACATAGATGCTCCAACGGACATCTGAATTTCGATTTAGCCGACGTCGACGCATCGATCGAAAACTACGAAAGTTTAGACAGTTTCGACAGAACCACTCGAGCGAGCGTGTCTTCTGTAACTTTGAATTCAAGACGTAGGATGTGCCAAACGCGACCATACGCCACGAAGTTGTAATAGAGATAGCGTGTTCTCAAACATATACGAATACGTTACAGAGTGTCGAACAAATTTACACTTGGTTACCCGGAACGACATACAACACACGCTGCAGCATCTAACTCAAGCATCTCCAGTTCCTGGCGTTGCTCCGACACTCTGGCGTAACTCTCGTCTGCAAACTCCGAGGACAGCGCACGATGTCGTTTCTCATCTTTCGTCATCTATATTACGAAAGAAGGGTTGGGAACCGGTAGAGGCCCTAGTTAATAACTCGAAGGGCAAAATTTCCAGCAGCCCGAAGGAAATGTCGTTCGATCTCGTAAAAATAAACTTGTCTCGAGGCTAGAGGAATGTACATGTAGGGTACACCGAAGAGCTCCGCTCGATGCATTATTTATACGTCTGATTCAACTCCACTGATGATCGTTTCGTCTTTATCGCTCGACATATTTGCCTACGTAGGAATTTCGCTCGTTCCCTGCTCGGTGGCAACTCGGGAACAAAATTTGAGGCAGTTCGAAGAACGCGTCGCTCTATCTCGTAAAAACACACTTCCCCCGGAGACTGGAGGGACCCAGCCTGCACATTTTATTCTCGTCCAATGCATTATTCATGCGGTTGTTTCAATTCCGCGGATAATCGTCGTCCACTATTTCACTGAGCGACGTAACGAGCTTTCAAAAACAAGATCCACGGGTTTCCTCTCGCTTCCTCGGCCGAGCCCGGCGGGGATTATTAATTTCATGTCCAGATTTTTACGACAATACCGGTCCGCCAGGCGCGCGAGCGAAGTCGATACAGGCGTCGCACGGTTCTCGTGTACAATGGTCACCTACGATTTCAATGCCGATTCACGGGCTATTCACCAGGACGTTTCGCGCGCACGGCTTATCTCGTTTCCTTTTCTACTTGCACAGAGAACACCAGCCGCGTTGCACCGACGCAACCGCCCATTGTGCCCATCGCGCAGTTCCCGCTCTGGACGTTCCTCTTCCTGGTCCGCGCTCACGCGACCAAACCGAAACACGTGCGATAGCGCACGCGAGAAAACGACGTAGGCGACTCGCTGGAAGCATTTACTGCCGTTTAACCCGAGAACACCGCACTTATTTTTTTTCGTTCGTTCACCTTTTCTCTGTTGAATTAATCAGGGGGTTGAAAAAGTCTGCGTTACGTTGAACTGATTACACAATTTTTTCTTTTACTTATTCGCATTCGCATAACATCCATAACTTTCATAATTGCGAGAAATCCTCCAAAAACCAAGACCCAATTTTTCACAGAATCGACTCCCTGCATAAATGAACCTCCCTCCGACGCGGCAACCCTTTCGGTATTTCCTCTATTTTCCACGTTTCGATTCTTCCCTCGCGTGATTCACCGCGCTCTTTGGTTTCACCGATACCGAAGCATCGGGGGTTAAGTACCTGCCACGAAGGTATAACTCATTTGGTATCGGACGTCAGACACGTTTCCCTTCGACCCCTGCTCCGCTACTATCGCCGAGAATTACGAGCGTCATTACCATTAGTCGCGGTAATATAGTAGACGCTCCGCTACTCTCGCGTCTAAACAGATACGCTAAGTTTCAACGTGGTCTCTCCGCTGGCGACCAACTACGCTAGGACGCGTCTCAACCGGCCAGAAGGAATGCCATCGCGAACGTTCACACTTATCGCGCTAAATGGAACCCGGAGCATGCGTTACAGCGACGAAATTTACGCTACCGAGCCTGGAATCGAAGAATTATTTGACTTTTTAATGGGATACACCATCCGTGGGGTCGAAATATGTACTGACATTCAGGAATTTTTTCCGACGATACGAAATTATAAGTTCACAGTTTGAATAGTATTCCTGCCGAATTTTGTTAAAAAATGTTGAACTTTTGAAAAATTGCGAGCTTTCAATAACGAAAATCTAATATTCCCTTGGCGTTGGACGCCATCTGGTTTCGTGATCGTGATCGATCGAATTAGCATCTATCGGAAGCAATTTTTCGCCTCTCGACGACATGCAAACGCTCTCGATGATTCGATTGGATCCGCTCGAAATACTAACTCTCGATTCAAGGTCGGCCGCGACGGATTCGATCGAACCGCTTCGTACGACGGGACGCGAAGGAGCCTCGTTGATAGTTATGGCAGTCGTTTCCGACGAGTTATTAATATCTTAATTACAACCGACTCGTTTTTCCGAGGACGTCTGGTCGATCAGTGGTGTACAAGACACGACCAGATTTCGCGGGATTAAGCACTCGAAGTCCGCGATCTCCTGGTCTGGCTTCTATCTCATGTCGCTGTCTTACTCGAGCATGGGATTAACGTGTTCGAGATTCTACATGCACGATATCTTGCCTAATTAAGATGATTTATAAACTGAGCGTTGTCATTGACGGTGAAAACCGCAGACCTATCAGTGTCGATAATGTCATACTGGAAATATGTAGCGGAGTTCATCTTAATTATCTTTACCGTGTTTTACACCGCACTGTTGTTCTTTTACACATCATCGATCATTCATTGTGTCCACACTTAGCGATTTTCGTAAATTTTAAATGTTATCTATGAAATATCGCACTCTGCGAAAACACGATCCTCCCGGATAGGATCGAACGACGAATCGATTCTCAACCCCCTCCGCCAAAAACGAAGGAGCTGTTGGGCCCCCCTACGGGCCAATTAAATTCGCAGCGGTAACGGGATAATAATTCCGTTGAATAATTGCGCTTGGCACGGGTATCGATCAAATATGTTAAATCGTACACACGCAGGCGGCCGCGATACTCCGTGGAATCGGAATTAATCGCGGCCATTGAAACGCGAGGAACCCGGGGCCCTCCGATCGTCCGTATAATCAATTGCATATTCAACGGAATCGCGTATCGAAACGTGGGTGGGTAGAGGGTGGAAAAAAGCGCGGCAAAACACTCGAGCGAATATCAATTCATCGAGGGTTAAGGGATAATTCGCAGCGGCGTTGCGGCGTCACGTGGCCGCGATTATTGCTCGCAAAACGAATCGTAAATTTTCGATACTCGCCCGACAGGCGAGAAGAGAGATAGCGCATACGGTAGCGTTGCACCACGGGAGACATCGCCGCTTTTTTGCGGATGGTTGAATTCGCGACGAATGGGAGGAAAAATGAAAACAAAAGGAAAAGAGAGACGCAGACCGCCACCGCGCGATATTCGAGCGAATCGGCGTTATCCATCGCCGTTCGGCGGCGAAACGCGTACAAATATTTTAATTGCCGCAGCGATAAGCGGCTGCTGTTCTTGTTACTTCATTCTCTTTTCCTTTTTATAACGGGAGATTAATGCGCCACGCAAACACACTTCGGCGCTCTTAATCGAACAATCGCAAACATTTGTTCAGCGATGCCAGTTGGGGCGGCGTTATTTAGCGTCGGCGGGTTCTTACGAACGCGCTACCGTTTCATTCGCGCCGACACGCTCGCTATCGAAAGCAGGAAGTCGAAGTTTCGTGGGTTAAAGTTAGTGGTTTACTTTGAAATCTGGTTGAGAACTGCAAGGAGCAAACAGGATGTAGGGCTATCTAGCTGTACTGTATACTAAGTCCGTGGTTTGCACACATTTTAGGGGCATAGGCAGCCATATTGGTCCAAAGTAAAGTCTGCTGTGGGAATTAATTCCCAGCGAACGAGTGCAAATCCTGACTTTTTCTTACTTTACTAGGGAGTTGAAGTAAAATGAGTACTGGTCATTGCATCTGAAAACTTTTAAGTGGACCCAGCTTTACACGGGAAACTTTCGCGTCTCTTAGACAGGATTTACTGTACATTTTTTATTTCACCACAATGTTTCTATATTTATTCCGTCCAATCTCTTTACTTCCACGTTAAAGCGACAAAATAAAAGGAACGGTAAAGAAATGAAAGAGTATTGTCGCGGATCGCGCAGTTGGTGAGTCTATTTGAAAAGTTGTTTCTCCCGTGGGTTGTGCAGCATCCATTGGGACAAGGGTGCGGAATCGAGCGTTTCACGACGCTTTCTCGGCGACTTGGGAAAGGTCGGAAGTCGTGGCAGATCGATGGCGCGAAGCTATGAAAGAATAGCGTCCACGCGAAAGGGGTAGTTGGCCGCCACAGGCGATGCTATTGCACCTTCATGAACGGACATCTTCGTTTCATAACGAATTAAACAAAAATAATAAGAATAACAAATCTAATGTTTTTTAGAATCTTACGATGAATTGGTCTCGAGTTAAAATTTAAAAAATGTATAACCTCCGATCTATTCCTCGTTTCACTAACGATTTCCCTCAAAAGTTTCAGACCCCCGAAGAAAGCATCAACTTTGGGGTCACTCTGTCAAAGTATCTTGACTAGTGTGGGCAAGGCGACGTACCCTGAGAACGTAGCTCGACGAGGAGCGCACGCAGTGATAAACAGGAAGGAAAGAGAGGGATGAACGTAGTACGCTTGCGCGCGCGAACGCGCGGTCTTCTCGCGAGCGTCGATAAAAGCGAGCGCCGCCGGGCGGAGCGTACATTTCTCGCGCGCCTTCGAGACAGGCAACCCGCACGACGCGACGCAACGCGCGGCGCAACGTCACTTCGAAACCAGAGAGAATCTCCATCTCGAATCCCACGGAATCGCGCTAACGATCGTGCGAGTGGAAAACGTTCCGTCGCTCGGAGAAGCTCGCTCGGAGCTTGGACCATCTATCTCTTCGGTCCACTATTCGCTGCACAAAGGTGTCGCGACACAAAGGACCCACCGGTTCCCGCGTACGCGGTGAATCCGCGATCGCCTCGCGGTTAGCAAGAGACTTTCGCGTAGAAATCTCTACCAGCAGTGCTAGTGCGGGTCAACACAGAGGAAGACGAATCGAGTGAAGTTAAACGGAAGAGAAAAGTCTGGTGGATAGCCACTAGACGGACTGAGTTATTGGTTAGGGAGGAGCTCGACGACGAGGATCCGAGTGGTTGATGGATCGTTAGATCGAGCCCCGCTGGAAGAACGAACGTCGAGTGAGAGTTTCCGCGTAGTGGACCGTCGGAGTATCGGAATCGGGAGCTTTTATCGGGGCAATAAATCGCCGCTGCGTCGGGAGTCCCTTGTTGTTGACGTGGCCGCAAGAAAGGGACACGCATCGCTGGAGGACACGCGCGGCGATTTAGCACGATCTAATCGGAAACGGCGATCAGGTAAGCTGCGTAGATCGTCGGAACTTGGAAATTAGATAAGAAGTGCGCGGTGGTCGATGCTGCGTGCCTCGATCGATGGGGCGATCGGTTACTGTTGCTTCGTACCTGCGACTTAGAAACGAAGATTCTTTTTTTCATGTCAGGTGTACGAATAGATAATGTCGCCATTTCTTTAGCCAATTTGTTGTTTACTAGCTTTTGCTCTCGACACTTCCCATTCCTGACTCTTCCAAGGAAAACATTATCTTTGATAGCTTACCTAACCAGTAATCACACGCAAGGTTGAGCATCGTGCGTTTCGTCGCACAAAACACAAATAAAAGTTACAATTTATATCTCCATGACAACTTCACCCGCGACTAACGCAACCAAACTCGTGTACGCGCGAGATTCAGAGTCGCGAACCGAGCAGATCGATTCGACACGGTTAGTTTCTCGTGTTGGTCAGTGTTTAGTATACAAGGCATGTCCGTGCCATCGAATGGAAATGCATCTTATCGAGAGGCACTGATCGACATGGCGAGAGGGTGTGCAGCGTCCCTCTTTGTCCCGGGGAAGCAACGCAAACCCTCCCCCGCGCTCGTCACGGATCGCCCCCTCGTAACGAGCGCTTTGAATCGGACACACTGTCGCCCGTCGAAACACGACGTTTCTAAGTGGCGGTCCCGCTTCATTAAATTCTGTTATCCGTTCGAAGTGCATTGTCCACCCCCTTCCAGGGACACCTGGCGCGGTCCAATGTCCCGATAATGGGGTACGCGAGCCACCCCCGCATTATTTCCAAATTACACGAGTCTGGTTTTCGTTCCCGATCGGTGGTTAATACCCAGGGCGGGGAGGAAGAAGAGAGCCCAAACTGTGTACTCGTTACGACGCATTCAACGTCGAAAACGCATATTGTGACCCACACGAAAACAGCTTTCCAGAGAAAAGTGCACTTACGTTATTATTAGTCCTATTGGAATGAAACTCGAGCTACATTTGAGCCGTTAATAAAAACAATTTATTTGTGCAACGAACGGCTCACTTAAACTTGGCGTAAATATTACTCGAAGCATGTACTTCTATTTCGTATACAAGTATCGGTATAAAATATTCGACTATCGTCAGAATAAATTTTCAAACATTGCTTTCACTTTGAAAGCTCATACCTCTTCCCCCTTAAGACGTTTCTAAGCAGCGGGTTTCGTGGACTATAAAGATCGGCATTGGCGTCGCGATGTTAGAAGCAATAACTAGCGAGGAGCGTTGCTTTCTCAGGGGATGAACTGGTGAGATAAAAGGGCGTTGGAGAACGGTTTACAAAGGACAGGAGGAGGCAGGTGTACGAGAAACGGTATGTAGCGCTGCAATTACCTGCCGCCGGAATTACCCACGCGTCTGTGCATCACAATTAATTCGTAATTAAATCCTTTGGCTAGGAGGCGTGGTCCTTTTCAGGCGATGTATAGAACGCCAGGCTCATGCATCGGGTTGGTGGGCACCCACGTCCGACCGCTCCGGAGCGAACGACGTCGAGCGTATCGTCGAACCGGGGTGACAGCCGGAAATAAAGGGCCGGCCGTGCATTAGCGTCGACGGTCAAAGGGTCGCTCGAATATCGACCGAGACGGTCGACAGCGTTAAATTGCCATTTGTCGGCCGGGGAATGCCTCTGATTAGTGCGCGGAGGCTATCACCCAATATGTCGCTCGGCTGCGAGCCTGCCGCGCAAAATTCTCTTTGCCCCTGTGTAATAAAATAAGAGAAACTGGTCAGGAAGTCACCAGAAGCTCACTGGAAAAGTTACCAATAGACCACGAATGGGAAGTCATGTACATGAAGAAAGACCAGTTTTCCTCAGAAACTACGCTATTAGGATTTTTTTTTTTTTTTTTACTTTTCCCATACTAATTTTAGTCAAAGTTAACCCTAAATGCATGATTTTCAGATCAATGCAAATTCCCCAAGATCTTTTCTAAATACCAATATTATAAATTTTTGTCCTGCCGGAAGACGGTCCGCGACTCGGGAGAACGTTTTTGCTCGTCTCAACGAAGACCGAGTGGTCGACGACGTTTGCGATTAATATCGAAACTAAATTACCATATCCGATCAAAGCGAACGTTTCCCTCTTCTCGTGCGCTTCGGATGCGAACTGAGCGCGCATCCCTACGGGGCAGAGCGTTTCGGTATAAATTTTACGGCCGACACCCTTGGCCAGCTTCGTTCTCCTTATCGCGGCATCAGCCCGCGGCATGACCGTGCCTCGATCGTCCAAAAATTACTTTTACCCATCCTGATCGCGTTTCCGATCGAGTCGTCCCTGGACAGCACGGAAAACTCGATACGAATTACCGCCCGGGGGTGCAATATCGGCCATTCGAGCCGTCCGCGGCCCTTTCTCTGCCACGGGACCCCTTCGATCCTTTCTACGATGATCTCTCTCTCTCTCTCTCTCTCTCTCTCTCTCTCTCTCTCTCTCCACGATTTATCTTTTGCTGCTTTCCCTCCTACCTTTGACTTTCAATATGGCGTTATTAATTCTGTATTGCCTAATCTTTCCCATGGGGACAGAAATAAAAGGTAACCAAAATAATTAAATAGATTAGAATAACTTGCTTTCTAATAGGCATATAGTTTTTTAAAACGCATAAAAAGTGCTTTGAAGAACATTTATGTTTGAAGTGTCCACTTCGTTCAATTGAAACATTATCCCTTCGTCTCTTTAACTAATTCGAACTCTAATTGTAATCCCGATTGTACCTTTGCTTCTAATTCTGGACCTAATTCCACTTCATAATTCGTATTCGAATTAAAAATAGTTCGACCAGACTGGAAAGCCCATGGCCAATGGGTACTCGATGAGCCGCCAATAGTCGAACGTCGGCCAGGGTAATCGATGCGTCTGTTCTCTCTTCACGGTGCGCGACCCTTCGGGACAAACGAGCAGAATGTCGCGCCGTGCTCCATTGAGTTACGGTCGTTGTACACGCGACGTCCGCGGACCTCCACGTCGCTCGAACCACGGAAATTCCGCGAACCGACGATCACTGTGTACCTTCTTTTTGCTTCGCGTAAGCTATCCTTTCCGCCTTACAACGCGTAATGCGCGTGCCAACGCAACCGAACGTTTCGCATTCAGAGAGGAGCGATTAGCGGATAGGAAGCTCTTTCCTGCGTCTGATTACCACTTTGCCCCCGAGGCCAATACTTACCGCGGAACGGACTGAACTATCACGTGGATTGAAAAGAAAGAAACGCCACCGGTATATAAATATGCAGATGGAACGAGGAAAAAATAAAGCAGTCTGTACTTTTGTGCACACTCGCCACATCCGTCTTGTCTACGGATGGATGTGGATTACTCCCGCCGCGACGTCTCACCCTCGATATGCGTGCGTGCATGCCTACATGGAAAACGGCTGACAGCAGTCTTTGCATCGCTTACCTCGAATCCATCCATCTGGCGTGCAATCGTTTTTCCTTAAATCCAAGGCGGAGCCCACGGCTCTATCTACGATGAAGTCTTCGATCCTGTACGCGTACTAAAATATACGGAGTATGTGCGGAACGTTTTTTCCCTTTTTGGGAGGGATCGTATTTGTTGTCGAGAAAGAGCGTAGTTCAGAAAGGAAGGGTACCTTTCAAAAGTACCTAGCTTCAGAGCCTCCACTAGTTTACATTGGCCACTATTCACTTCTTCTAAAACTAGATAGTTAGCGAAATATTTCTTTCTTTCGAAACGGAACAAAGAACCCGGAAAGAAACCCGGCACTGGCACAGAGCTTCGTTAATCGAATATCCCGTTCACCTAGTCGGACCTTCGAGGTCGAGAACGAGTTTCGAGTTTCAATTTCGAGTTAGGTTCTAGATTCGAATAAAAGGTTTTCTAATTTTATATTACACGATAATATGCTGTTTAATCATATGCAATCTCTTTTACCAATTTCTGCTTACCCGAATGATATACCATTTTCAATTTAGCTTACAAATTTCGAGTCGATGAACATTCGAAATTAATGAATACTTTATCAATATGTAACATCGCTATCGTTCAAATAATTGTAAATTATACCTATATTACATTACGTTTCCATTTAACCCAAAGTAATATATACAACGTTACCGTGGGATTTTCTGTGTAAACCTAACATTGCCATCCAGAACAATATTGTTTCCAAAAATTCGACGGGGATAGCCACAACGCAACGTGCGATTAGATTACCCAACCGCATCAAAGCGTGCTGTCCAAGGTACACAAAGCTGCATTGTACTTCATTTCCGCAAGCACGACGAGCAAAATCGCACAGTGGACGAGGTCCATTTTAAAATTGACTCGCGCAACGATACGCTTATCAGCCCATTATCAGAAGTCAGTTCACGGGCGTTTACAATAGCCTGTCACCCAGCTTTCACAATTTTTCTTTTGTATTTACTCCAAACGTATCGACGTCGATATCTCTTGTTCTCTGTATACCCTCTACAAAACAACGCGTACAGTTTATTCACGTTTCCATGAAATTCTTTGCCATTTGATTTTGGGTTACAATGATTTCGGAGATTCGTGTCGTTTTTAGGATAGATTGTGAAACCTCTGTCGCTATTTGCTTCAGTGTTAGCGTATGTGTATGTATGCGCGTCAGTCTCTGTTTTGTTTCACCTTTCTCGATTCGTATACATCGGTGGCATCAAATTTTAAAGCGAATTCGGCAAGTTTAGAAGATGCCGGCACAGATGGTGCCATGTGCTGCTTCGTTTTGTAGGATGCAATACATTCTGAACCAATATCGAGAAAGTTGGTGCAACAACGTTGGCAGCTTTTTTCGAGGATGTTTCGACCCCGATTCCTGTGTGCGCGCAGGGTGGCTTGCGATCAGAAATCCAGGGAGAGCACGCAGAGTAATATTACCAGTGCCGCCATTACCGCGGCAAAGCGGCAGGTACGCTTACACACGCGCGCACATAAAACGGAACGCACCCGTGCCACCGCGACCGAGCCACGGGTCCGTGCTCGTTAAAAAACTCTCCCGCCTTATATACATATCGGAATGCCAGGAGTTCACAGAAAAGCTCCTAGGCCGCCTTTGTGGACCGCCAGTCGCGGCTCGCGTGAAACACTCTGTATATACCACACTGTACCACGCTATACCGCACTATACGAGCTCCAGCTATGTGCTACCGGGCGAGTGAACTCGTCCAAGGGAAACGCTCTTCGAAACTTTCTGTATTTTCATGCAAATTCCCTCCGCTCGTCCACGGTTCTTTTTTTCTCCCTCCCACGTTTCCGCATCCCTGGGTTCCTTACTCCCTCTTCCTTTCCTGGCTACGTCCTTTTTTTTTCTACGTCTCGGTGTCTCCCGCTGCGGATGGACGGAATTCTTATTTAGATAAATGTCTCCAATAAGAGATGAACAACTTCTTGTTCGTTGCTAGAGGTATGAAAATTGGAATTTTAATTACATGAAAGGATATTATTTGAGGAATTTGAGATTTTTCTATCAATATTATTCATTTAAAGCAACAAATTTCGTACACTCGATGAATTTTTGTTCGACAACTCTTACTGTGACGAAACGTTTCTTCTTTTTAAAAGAAAGGAATCCAAGATGTTAACACGGTCTCGCATCAGCTTTCCCTTCTTTCGTTCTCCGTTTTTCGGTTCGCAGACGGTAGAGGCGATTAGTAGTCGTCGTACGTCCTCTGGGGCCTTTTTTCGTATGCTGGGCGACCAGCGCTGGGTCCACGAAACGCCACGCTCGCTGGCGACGTACGGAATGTTTTCTACGATTTTCCACGGGTTTTCGATGCCGAACGACGCGAGCGACGTGGTCAACCTCGTGGGCACGAGCTGCGATCTCGTACGAGCTGACAGCATCGACGCCCCCCGAATGCGAATTACTGTTTACTGCAATCACCGCACAGCTTGATGACCCGAGAGCCTCCTCTGATCTTGATTGGGCTGGAGGGGATGGACAAACCACAGTCGATTGCCGTTAGTCGGTTTAACCTCGTTCTCGCGAGATTAATGATCAAAGTGTGATGTTTAGTTACATTTAACAGTGCGCATTGTTAGACGTGTTCTCATAGAACTGGTTCGTAACTTTATCGTGTCGAGAATTCAACGAAAGGGTAAAGATATTTTACACCAGAAACAAATTTAACGTTACTAAAATATTAAATCAATCCACTCGATCTAGTTTGTCAATTCCGTCGCAATTAGCTCGAAGTTGCACGCGGAGTTACTCTCGGGGGACATTCTTCAAAAATTAAATAGGCAGCGAAGAAGGAAAGTAACTTCGACTACTAAAACTTTTGAATCCTCTTAAGGAACCTTGTTAAAAACTTGTAGACCGTTATTGATTTTTTTTAATCAGTTGCGAAATTAACAGCGCATCCGATAAAGAACGACCTTAACCATTTGGAATCCTGTGTCGAGTGAAACTCGACAATATTGAACTGAAATCCGAAAATCGAGACCGCAGAAGAGTAAGCGTGGCAGGCTCAATCTGTGTCAGAATAATTTTACAATATATCTGACACCATTTCGATTTAAAACGCAATCTCGCAGACCTCTCATCTCTTATCGCCTACCGTCAAACGGAACTCGGAGAAATTGAAAAGTGCGACGCATTCTTCAGGCGACACGGAAATTTGCTCCCATGAAGATTGGGAGAAGCTCGAAGGACAGCGTTTACTTTACCCCGGAGGAAAGCAGAGAAAATAAACGCGAAAGATGGTCGAGCCGAGGACGGAAAGGGATTTAAAATTTTGACGTGTACAGACGAATCAGCTCTCTCATCTTTCCCCCTCAACATTTGGGAAGTCTGACGCGTCGAACCCATTCGTGAATAACACGTTTGTTCCTTCCAAAAGAGGATTACGGGTTTTCCGATTCGTAAAGATTTCAGCCCTCGAGTCAGAGCCTGTCGCTTTGCATGTTCCCTCAAGACTCGTGGACCTGGACCATCAACAATTTATTTCAAGGGAACTCTCTTGTTCGGGATTAGGCGAGCAGTTATCGTCTCTGAGAATAATCCCATTGATCTGCGGCTTGAAAAAAAAAAGGCAGTGAGAAATTAATCGGACAAGATGTTTGGATAAACGAGGCTGAAATCTCGTCATGGACGAGTAATTCCTTGTCAAAACACGATCGGGCTCGTCGTGTAAAAGGTTCTCGTCATTGGGGGATTTTGGACACGGTGACAGCTTCGTCGCCTATTTCCAATGGGGTCTTGTGGTTGTCGAGATACGATCACGGTTTTACCTGGAACTACAGACCTGTGGGCATTCTTGAATATTAATTCTTCAATATGCATATATATATATTTAAAATGCACCTCCATAATCTTCAAGAACGATTCTCAACATGCTTCGTCGCGATTCCCGTGCAAGACGTGAGCCATCCTTCTGCCAATAGTTGAATTTCATCTATTCGCCCGAGCAAATTGTTACGCGATAGAATCATCTCGAAACGATCATTCCCCATTCCTTAACGAGCCACGAAAGTCTGCCAGTCCCTGATATCACAAACTCTGATTGAATTAATGTATCAGCTCGCAAAAGGAGCGTAGAGTGGAGAAGCAAAACGAGCAGAGGATCAGCTCGCGCAGCGTGTACACCGGAGCGAATATTCCAGCACGCCTCCATTTTATACGTATACCGGATCCAGCATCGGACCCAGAGGATTGTTCCTTGGTCCGATCGTGTCCTGTCCAGCGACGGGATACCCCGTCGTGCTTGGTAGCTGCCACGCAAGCGATAGGTATCTCGTAACCGAGGATAAATTGGCATTATTTATATGCCCGTCACGCGCTTCATTGTCTCGTACCTCAGCGAGCAGCCGCGTTCGCGGTGTCGGAATAAAATAATAAAACCGTTCGTCTTTCTCTCTACCCTTTAGCCCCGCGCAACCTCGGTTTCCTCCCGTGATTCGCGCGAAGGATGCACGAAAATAGCACTTTTCTTGGACGAGTCTTGGCAGCAGTCGATTCTGCGTAGCGAACGATTTGTAGGATTTTATTTGAAGGTAATCGTGACGTATCACTTTCAATTTTTTGGGGTATTCGTTTCTAGCCCTCGATATCTGGAATTTAAACTATCCACATTCACTAAATTTTTTCGTTATTTTGTTTTTCGTTCAAATTCATTTGGCACCCCCAAGCCAGATGTATCTTCGTGTACATGTATACATACAGTCGATAGAGGAGTGTGAATCGGAGTCTAGGTTTCCGCTTGGAGGATTCGAGGACGTAGTCCGCCAGCCGGCTTCACGGAAGCCGCTGTAAGCAGCCCAAGTGCGGGGAATTTAATTTTCGATTTGATACAAAGGTAACAAGGCGTCGTTACCAACCTTGAGTTCGTTACGGGCGAGCCGCGCGCAATATCACAGAAGAAATTTTCAGAACGTTTCCTCTTTGTGCTCATTGAACCGGCCCAGGCCTGACTCTTCACTGCCACCCACCCCCTTTCCGTTTCTCCGACGCTGCTTTTTTCCTTATGCACGTTCTATCCTCGTGGTCTCGGTACCCGACTCGCAAATGAGACTGCGCGATTTATGGTGAGGGCTTTTTAAATTGTACACCCGGAACCCGTGGCACTCGGTTATATTTTTCACTGAATGATAAATTAATCCCCCACCCCGCGGCCACCCGCGGCCACCGCCGCAGCCGTCGTCCTGCGAACGAAAAGATTTCTTTCGCTCGACGAGCCCTTTCCCAGAGATTTATCGCGCGAAACCAAGCCCACGGAAGGGAGATTGTACCGGTAATGTTCTTCCAGTTGGTAGAAATTTCTTCTGCGGGTCGTTGCAAAGTTACATCCGTTAGTCTCTGGAATTGCTTGAAATTTAATCTTTAGCAATACACTTTTATTCCGTTCTACGAAGATAGCAGTTTAATGCGACGGAAACATATTACAGTGACGATTCTCGAGTTGACACTTGTTCATCGTGTTACAAGATTTGTCTCTCGTCAGATTGTTTATTTAATTATTTCAAATTTTGCCGATTTCGCGTATTAAAAAATACGTTATACTAATATATTTTAATTATTTATGTTTAGGTTCCAAGTATCTGGTGGACATCGCCCAGTCTACTTTGGTCCTCATTACGTCGGTACTGTATATCAACGTCTAACTGTATTAAGGTAAGCAAGCATTCGCTTTTGCATTAATCATATATTTCGTCTTCATCGCGAAACTATGTAAATTTAACACGTACTCCGTTTCAGTTATACGTTCCGAAAGGAGCGAGCTTTCCGAAATCGAGGAAGCTCGTGACGAGGCGAGAAATTAAATTTGACGTTATTTTTTTTCCACGAACTGTCTACCGCTGACGCACTGTCGACAACCGGTGCAATTACCTTGCACGAGAGAAAAAGAAGGAAAGGTAGCGCGAGGTAGAGCGACAGAGGTAGAGGGGGAACCGTAACTAACGCGCCGTAAAATCCACTGGGCACGCGCCATTTCACTTAGCCCACGGCGGCTCCTTTTCCACCGGACTGCTACTTCCCGGCGTCGCCTCTTCTTCGTACAAGCTCTAACCTCTGTTCTCTGCTGTCCCGTCGCCCGGGGTCATCGATTCTCGAGCACCCGTCCGCTTCGCGCTCGTCACGAGGAGTTTGCCGTGACTGACGACTCCCGCTCGAATCTTCCTCGGTGAATCGCGTTGTTTGCTTTTCGGCGCGCTTCTTTTACGCTCGTGATTACTTCGAAGCTTCTGTCCTGTCGTCCACGCCGGTTACGATTGATTCGGTAAATGGAAACAGATTTTTTAATCCAGAACGGAAGATTTTTCAGTTACGATCTAAAGTTACCAGCACGGAATAGTTATTTTTTTCGTTTTTTCTCCTCGTATGTTGTCAAATAATGCCATGGAAATGTTCGATACTGGTCGTTATAGAAGAGAAATTTTTAGTTACGGAGCGTTCAAAGGCCTCCATTAGGAGTAATTTAGCAAACTACGAGACATGGTAAGCATATCTTATCGCGCGAACGCAGCTCTACCAATTGCGACTTTAAAGAGTCTTTATTTTAAAGCAAGTATGCGCAAACATATCTCCGAGTCGCCGCACGCCCGCAACCTCTGGGTAGTACTTTCGCCCGTGGTAGAATTCATGTTCTTTACGTCGAGTTGGTGTTTAGTCCCGTTTAGTTCTACAAAGACACTCAATCCGAACGCAAAGAGCAAACGCGGTAGAAACAATTACCGCAAGCGTTGCCGTGCGCTGAAAACTTACGACTTCCTAGCACTTTGTTATCGTAAATTACGACGTCTGTGAGCGTTAGATGTTCCATTGTTTCGCGGAGGGTGTAAGGAAAGTTCTCTGGTAAATTTTATAAACTTGCCGCGCCTCGTCATGCGCGCACACCCAACCTCCTCGCGCTTTTGCGTTGTAACTCCATACCTGGCTCGAATCGAAACTGCTCTCTCGTGCCTTCGTAATTCCACAAACAAATATTCAAAATAGAAATAAAATTGAAAACAAACAAACAAAAAAAGACGAAGTAATTGAAAACACGAGCAATTAAAGTTTCAAAGTACCCAAGAGTTCGGCGGGGGTGGAAAAAATATTCAGAAAAGGCGCGGAGAAATCGCTGAAAATACGCGTATATCCGCCCACCGACCCTTTTGCAAACATTGAGACGCCAAAGGGCAACGAACTGCCTCCCTCCCTCGCCCTTCGCGGACTCTCGAAACCGGGCGGACACACGCCTCACTGTCGATCGATGCTTCCTGAGGCTGTCGCAACGAAATCGTTTATATGCGTCGACAGCAGCCTCGTTACAGAAACAATACCAACGATGCCGTTTGAATTTCGATATTGACGCAGGACTGTTCTACAACGGTACGCGATGAATTCGTCTTGTTTGCCCTCGTCCAGTTCCATTCTCCATTTCCAGTTTCTGCTCCTTTTTCATTCCCTGCTTCTTTATATACTGGGAACGTTACTAGTTTTCCTTCGACGAGGTTATTTTAAAAAGATCGTAACGCGCGATAATTTGATAAGTAAGGAAGACACGGAAGGAGTCGGGCGTTTCAGCGGATCGCAAGCACGATAGAGAATTTCTATGAAGAGCAATGTTTGCAAATTTGTCATCTGCTGCCCACCTTGTCTGCGGAACGAATGGAATAGTTGTAGATAAAAAAAATTCGGCTTGCAGGATTTGGCATCTGGCAAGGCCATTTAAATGCCGAGCCGTGGGTTTATAATACGCCAATCGTTATTGAGGACAGAGCTGTGCTCTAACCCAGACTCTAGAAATGCACGTGGTCAACAGAAACCTAGAAACTTCGTAACAAAGAAGCCACTTTCTCAGCCTCAATTCTCCTCCAGATTAATCGAATGTTTTCTAAATGTTGTTGGCGGATGTCTCTCAAAAATATTCTTCGTCCAACACGTTTCTTCCCCATAGTTTTTCGTTCCATTTTCTTATCTGTCGCTATTCCGCAATCCCCTAAGCCCACGCACACAATAGGTACACCATGTATCCTAATCCCCTCCATCCATCAATGGTAACCCTTCTATCAGCGCACTTTCTTCGTTACAGCTTCCAACGTGTACTCAAGCAGAGTATGTACAATAGAGTGGTCGTCCAAGGGTAAACTAAAGTCGTTAATAGTCTCAGTAGTTGCAACAACGAGCACGCAATGGAGCGTGTTTCTTGGACTCGGTTGTGTCACAGCCTACGCCATTGGGTGCAATAAATTCTCATTCTTTTCTCTCTCGTTCTCCCTCCTCCCCTGGTATTTCTCGTCTCTCCTGTTCACTCTCGCACACGTTCGCCACGTATCTTCGAGAGTTCTCTCGCCACACGGTTACCAGGGAGGGTCGAGGTGTGAACGAAGAACCACAAGTGCCCTGGAAAGTGCCAGCCCTCCCCAGCCCCCTGGTAACCCAATCCCCCACCAGGAGACGAACCGTCGCGGACGAGTTTTACACGGTTACGCATTTTCCTCCCACATTGCGGTCGGTGCGACCGTTCGAGGCTTAATCAGCCATGGTCGATCGGTCGTCGACGCCCTTCCATTACGAAGAAATCGTTTCAAGGCTTTCGAGTCCACGAGCTGGCGACAAGCCAGAGTCCCGACGAGCGTCTATCCCCGCCCCGGAAATTCGCAGGTGCAAATAATCGCTTATCGAGGGAAAACGCCGTGAAACCTTCTCCGTGGTACCTAACGACCAGGAGTCCTCGAGGTCCTGTCTCAATTAGGGAACAAACTACCGTTGTGTATCGAAGACTTGGACAAACTGGCCCTGGAGAGGATTCAGACTCGGTGGTCGAGAGTTGCGTATACGGGTTACCTCTCTATCGGCGTAGATTTTGTTCCACGAGGTCATGATCGATAGCGTTACTCCCATGAAAACGCGTTTTGTAAGCCAGGGGATAAATCCCTTTCACCGTTGGACTTCATTCGACCCATTACGGTGACTAAAGTCATTCTTAAAGTTGTCAGAGATTGCAACACGGCTCTACGAAGTCAGATGGTAGCCCCAGCATAAGTCACCGGCACCTCACCCTGCAGATTAAGGCGGAGGGTCTGGCAAGTGTGAAGAAAATCGCGATCGGCGAGAGATTGGAGACGTTGTTCGATTTGTTCCCAGGGACACAATGGTGTCTAGCGTCGCCACAAATTCAACATTCCGGAATCTTCACCAACCCCGAGAGATCAGGAATCTGGAAGTTTGCTTGTAGATGACTATCGCACGCCCACGTATCCCCCCGCCCCTGAAACAGCGTGTACCTGTGGTTCCTTATCCCGAGGGAGCGATCGGTTAACGAGATCGGTCCTCGTGGTGCGCGTCGCGAGCGTAGGACTTCTATTCGGGGATTAAGTTGACGCAAATCTGTCAGCCAACGTGGATCGGACGGGTCCTCGAGTGATCGATTCGAGCTTTCATCGACGGGAAGAAACGATGACCGTGTCCGCGAAAGTTTCAAGGGCTTCGAGAGAGTCGGGGGTCCATAATTATCGAAGTTTATTGTCGAGGCGGTGCGCGTTTATTATACTTGCAAACTTGAGCGCCTCTGATCCGAGGCAGATGACTAATGAACACGCGTTTCGAAAGGCGTGTCTCGGGTTTCGTAGTGCGGTAAATCGAACCTCGAATATCGTACGGGCCACCAAGCCACGCGAGGTCCCGACCGACCCTTAGGAATGCAAAATATTGCCGGGAAAGAGGACGCTACCCCCCTCTCAGAAACAAGACGGAAACGACGGGCACGGCTATGCTTCTTTCGCCAGATCGAGATATATCGAGCCGTGCAACCAGCTCAGACTTTTAAGTTGGGGCTACAACGACTTTTACTCGAAGCCTCCTGCGTAGAATGAGAATTTCGCGCACCTATTTATCGCGCGGACTGGTACAATTTTCATTACCGTAACAGAAGATCTTTGATCTCCAAGATTTTTTTTTTTTTAGACAATTTGTCCCAGAGGTCTACAATTGATCAGACAATTGTTCGGTACAAAAAATGATCGTTCAACGTTGATCATGCAATTCTTGTTTGATGTTCCAGGGGAACGATCTTGTTCCCCAGCCAAATACATGCGGCAGGCTCGTCATTCGTCGTCCAATTAAGTCGTGTACGAAGATAAGCCTTGTGCCGTCTACAAAATCGATAAACAGGCATCGTTCGACGCTAGTCCAACGTAGATACACGCATAAATTGCAGACCTTTCGACTCGGCCAAACGATGGTCGACGCACGCATGTATCGAGCCACTGAGGGCGTGTCTGTTATACTTGGCCGCGTGTATGGTGGCCCCTCGTATCGAGAATGATCGAAAAATGCCGGATATAATCTTCTTTAATTAACGAGATCTGCGCGTATCGCGGGTGTTCGTAGAAAAGGATCCTCGCCTCGTGGAGCGTGGCTAATAAATTCCCTCGGTCAACCGATAAATCCAACGATTCGGCGGCGTTAATCCGATCGTTTCCCTGGAATTATCGCTACTAAATCACTGGCCCGTGTATCGTGCGATTTATTTTCCGGTGCCCGTTGCGTCACCCCACGATCTTCCTGGTTACATATCAAATCGGGAGCTGATTTTATAGTCTAAGCTTTTTATTTTTATCGAAAATCGTTCTTCCTTCGATTTGTTCCTTGCGTAGGTACGCATTGACCATCGGTAGTTTTTAGCA